CACACACACACATTCTTTAATATTCTGATTATGATCTTAAAAACATTCTGGCGATATCAACAGAGTGTGCGTCTCACCGCATTAGCTTCTAAAATATATACAGAGACATATACTATATGTCTCTGCAATATATGTTTTACAAGCTTATATGTTTTACAAGCTGATGCGCAGATGAGATTCATTACTTTATTGACATCGTCAGAACATCTTTGAGATCATAACCAGAACGCTTCCAGAATATTACAGAATGTTTCTAAGATCATCATCAAAGTATTAAAACACATTTCCAGAATGTTACAGAATGTCTTCAGAATATTGCTACATACGGGCATAAAATATTTTGCCAAAATATATTGCCAAAATATCTCTGCAATTATCAAAATATTAAAGAACGTTTTTCCAGAATATTACAGAATGTCTTCAGAATATTGCCAACTGCGGACATAAGACTAATATTACCAGAACGCTTTTGAGATCATCATTAGAATATTTCACATTTCAAATGTAATATTTTGATGATATTCTGGTAACATTTGGTGCTGTGTTGGAAGATAAAAAAGATTTCATTAGTTTCATTGCATATATATGCGCTTCGGGCCTTTGTATAAATATTTTTGTTCAGCATTATAAAATTCATTTTATTAACTTTTTCTGATTATTTTATAACTTTAATTAAATTTTATTTAGTATTTTAATTATAATGTAATATAAAAAAATAATTAATATATTTAATATTCTGTTAATAACTGTTAGTAACTTTTTCATAAAGCCTCCAATGTGTGTTTATTAATTTTTCTCAAAATCGTATAAAACATTCATAATTGATCCATGCACCTTCCAGAGACATCTCATGGAGCTCTAATGGAGGTCTAATGGAGGTTTCGTGAACGTTCAATGGAGATTATATATGATGGATCTCTAATGGACGTTCATTTTTGAAGGTTTTTGTTCCGTGTGGGTTAGTTATGATTATAAATACTAAATTTAGACAATCTTAATACCTTCGAAGATATATGTAACGTATTCATTTACGAGAATGTTTCTTGCGCTGTTTTTTTTTATAATTGTTATTTCTTTATTATTTGCCATTTCAACTTTTTTTTCTCTGATCATGCAATATCTTCGTATTTGCATATATTTAGTGCGATTCTCTGAGAATAGATAATTCGGTGAAATCCAAATATTGCTGAAAAAATGTAGTCGTGAGAGTCATGATATAATTGTTACAACATGAATCAAATTTCAATATAAAATTTTTGTAATAAAAAAAAATAACTTCAAAAAAATTTTAAGCATTTGTAAGACATTAAACAGTAAGTATAAATTTAAAAACAGATATGTAATATTTATATATAATATTATTAATTATTGTGTACTAGCGTCCGACTTTCTAATCTACAAATTTAATATTTAATAAATACTGT